CATGCATTTGGCTTGCTTCCATTCCATTTCTCTCCATTTTCTCCCTGCACTGCAGCAGGTGCTGATTCTTGCTAGGCTGAAGTTCTGTAGCCTCCAGCAGTCTTACAGTGGCAGTGGGATATCTTGGTTCAAGTGGCATCTTTGCTAATCCTGATCCTCACCCTAATCTCTTCCTCACTTTGGCATTGAAATGTTCATTTTACATCAGAAGTTTAGTCAGTAGGAATACAAGTTTTGTATTGGGTTTACTGAGAACAAATGTGATGCCTCATAATAGGTGAGAAGTAGTAGGGTAATATTTCCCTGTTCCACACAGTTACATGGCATGGAAACAGTCCCCATGCTGACCAGATATCCTAAATAAATCTAGTCCTATTTGCCAGCTTTTGGCCCAAATCCCTCTTAAACCCTTCCTATTCATATACCCATTCAGATACCTTTTAAATGTTGTAATTGTACCAGCCTCCATCAGTTCTTCCTGCAGTTCATTCCACACACACAACATCCTCCTATGTGATAAAGTTGCCCCTCAGGTCCCTTTTAAATCTTTTACCCCCTCACCTTAAACCTATGTCCTCTAGTTTTGGATTTCCCTACCCTGGGGAAAAAGACCTTGGCTATCCATGCCTTTCATAATTTTTTATAAACCCCTATAAGCTCATCCCTCAGCTTCCAATGCTCCAGGGAAAATAGCCGCAACATGTTCAGTTTCTGCTTATAGCTCAAACCCTTCAACCCTGGCAATATCCTTAAATCTTTTCTGCACCTTTTCAAGTTTCATAACATCTTTCCTATAGCAGGGAGAACAGAATTGAATGCAGTATTCTAAAAGTGGCCTCACCAATATCCTGTGGAGCTGCAACATAACTTCCCAACTCCTATACTCAGTGCACTGACCAATAAAAGCATGTGCACCAAAGGCTGTTTCAACTATCCTATTTACCTGTGACTGCACCTTCAAAGAACTATGAATCTGCGCTCCACGGTCTGTTTGTTCAGCAACACTCTCCAGGAGCCTACCATTCGGTGTGCAAGTCCTGCCCTGATTTGTCTTGCCAAATCTCTTGGTCATTTATAAGATGTTTATTTTAAAATGAATGTTTTAAAATTGTTTGGGGGTGTGACTTTCGGGAATAGACTTGAATTAGGCTATTAGTATTTTTAAATTCAAAGGGAAAAATAATCATTGTTCTCACAAATCCCCAAAAGTGTAAATGCAGAAACAAACACTGTCCCCAGGAGGGGAGGTGGTGCCGTAGTGGTAATGTCACTGGGCGAGCAATCCAGAACCCCAGGCTAATGTCCTGGGGACATCCTTTTGAATCCCACTGTAGCAGATGGCAAAATTGTAAATTCAGTTTTAAAAAAATAACTGGAATAAAGAGATGCCCTTTAGAAAAAGAAATCTGCCATCCTTAGCTGGTCTGGTCCACACGTGACTCCAGGCCCACAGCAATATAGTTGACTCTTAACTGCCCTCTGGGCAATGAAGATGGTCAATGGATGGTGGGCCAGTGAGAGATGCACCACACCCTCCGAATAAAAATGAAGTTGCAGTCCTGGTTGCATTCTCGTTTGTAACTTTTTGTTTTTCTTTTTAAATGTATAGAAGTTGGAAGCCTCTAGGTTTCTGGGTGAGGTTGTGGTTGTTTCTGTAAAGATGAAGCTTTACAAGTGAGGACAAGTAAACCTTTTCTTTCACTACCTTGAGTGACTGGTTGCTCCAGCAGGCTGCTGTTTCTTTGCTAGAGCAATGGTCCCTCTTGCCCAAACTGCTCTGATTTGAGCTGGTTCTCCACATTTAAAAGGAATAGCTTTTATTTAGAATCAGTTTTGATCATGTGGCCATAGACAATATTCTCATTATCCACACAGGATTCTGGCTTACAGCATTGCTAGACAATGGAAGATGAATGGTGGCTGTTCCCATTTTTGGTTGTGATAGAGAGGTGTGGAGAAAGCGATTTTAAATGTTGAGCTTACAAGCAGATTATGGGTTATCAATTTTGAGTTTCAGTCAGTATGAGATGCAAGTTCATGAAATGGCTTTGTACTTTAATGTCTTTTCAGAAGTTGGGGGAGGAGTTTCTACCCACAAGCATTTATATTCTTAGAATCATTTATAGACCTGAGTTAAATGTTTTGGTGGAAAACTGCAAAAGATCATCTGTCTCCTTTAGCCATCTCTTCCACAGGTGGATCCACTTTTTTGAAGTCCATTTTAAAAAGGTCCACATTATGTAAATTCTATCTTGCGTTTGGAATAATGATAACTAGGCCACTTTGTGCCCAGTAAGAACACGTACTTGAATGAGACCAACTAAACCTTTGTGTGTGTGTGTATTTAAATGGGAGATTAACTGTATAATTTTGTTGCTGTGTGGCCTGGGTAACAGTGTCTGTCTGTGAGAGCTGATTAAGGCACTATTGGCTTGGGTGAAAAGTAGCTCCAATAGGCCTGAGTCTATTGCTCTGTTGTAATTCCAGCAGACAGGAGCTATTCATACTGACACTGGCAACTCTCCCAGTCCAAATGCCTGGGGAGTGTAGTGATTCCTATGTTGTTAATTCTTCATTCCTGTGGGTCATAGCCTAGGGATGGTTATTTAAGTCTCTTTGTTAGTTAGTGCGTGGATATTTATTTGGCCTAGCCAGCTTTCTGTCTTCATCTCCCTGAAAGTGCTGCTTTTCATGTTGTTCCATAAACACTTTACATTCTCTTTCTCTCTATATGATGTAATGCCAGTTGGTGGCTGGAACCCTAAAATAAAACTGGAGTATTTGTTTTTGGTTCTAAAATGTGTTTTTTTTTTCAAACAAAGACTTCTGCAGGTATTAAAAAAAAAAAGTTGTGTGGGGCTGATAGGATGCAACACCTAAAAGTTCCAAAGAAACTTCAAATGGACTGGACATGTTATCTTTGTAGTCACAAGTGATGAAAGAGGCTGATGATCCTTTGCTCAGCAATGAGCGACGCCTGCTGTGGATTAGGTCCCAAACTGCAGACATGGTTTTTCTCCCCCTTTTGAAGAACACATAAGAGCAAGGCTTTGAACTCCGTTTCAACTGTAGTGGAGTGTACTAGTAGGCGTGAATGTTGTCGTCTGTACCAGCTTGGGTTTAAGCATTGGTCACAGTCCAAATTTTAACTGTGTTTATTCCTGTGTAGCAGGTTTAAAATCTGAGTGCCGCAAACCAGCTAATTAGAGGAAACAGGACCATAAATGAACTCCCCCCTACCCGGAGTACAGGAATTCAGTCATTGTCCAAAGGGATCAGAACTACAGAAACTTAACCATTATGCAAAATTAAGGATGCTGAAACCAATTGTTCAGCCATCAACATCCATGTTACTTAAATTAACCTCCACTGCAATAGCTGCTTTGTTCAATTTTTGTGAACAATTTGGAAAGCAATTTTTTTTTTTTTGAAGCTAATGGATTTGTCTTTCTCATTTCTAGTCTGTGTGTTGTGTTACTAATTCATCTCCCATTTAGTAATTAATCTGGTCAGTGAATGAGCTTTTTCCTAGGTTGGATGATGACTGACCATTAATTGACAAACTTTGTTTAAATTTGAACCAGTCAGTTTGATGCTCATTAAAGGCATTGCCCTGAGAAATGAACCACGGGATAGTGGTCACCTGTTTTGAGTTGAAATGGATGCAGTGTGTACGCCTTCTTTCTGCCCGTTAAGATAGGGCCCTGGGTACTAATATGCAGCTTCCAGTACGTAAATGTGTGCCACACTGCAAATGTGACTAACGATCTCCAAATTAGTTGTCAATGTAGATTTTTGTGTGCAGAGAATTTATTTAGCAAATGTTGTTTGTTGGGAGTGTTGCAAGCATGGCCTGGTTGGGTACCTTAGTTGTTGCAAATAGCTGCAGGAATATGCTGTTTGACATAATCTGCCAGTCTTTGGGATGTACTTGAATTCCTAGTATCTCAATGACACTGATATTCATACGGCACATGCAATTGGCATGATGGCTACATCTTGTTAGTGATGCACTCCACTCAGTGCTACTCCATATTAGCAGCATGAAACAAAAAATTTTATTTCCTTTTTTACATTGCTATTTCTTGCAAATTGTCCTGATTAAAAGCTTTGAAAAATGTATCATCTTTTTCTCAGTAATACGCAAATTCTGTAGTGCAAAATGACTGTTAATGACTCCAGTCTTAAAAGCTCAAACCCGTGCAAACTATTCCATCTTGATTCCACTGTCTGTGCAGATAGCTGAGAAGGTGCAGACACAGTGGACCAAATGGCTTCACTCTGCACGTACCAATTCTGCGAGGTAAGAAAATTGAAGATAAATTCGCAGGTCTTCCCTATGGAGTGTGGTCGCCATCTAGTGTTTTTTTAATTGAATTCTGATTTTCAGTAACATGCTGTGGCCTGCGATTGATTTTATCTTCACCCCTTTTATAACTTGCAATGTCTTATAAATAATGCTCCCTCTCTTTATTCACTTATTTAGGAAGGTTTCGTGAATTATCTGTCATTGTGTCTTTATCTTTCACATTTCCCTTTACAACTCTGCTCTTTTGACTTTTTTTTCCTTTCGCTGTAGATCTTCATTCTCTTTATCTTTGGTCTCAATCCTTCTTTCTTTTTTTTTAATCCCTCTCTGATTCTTTCACCCTTGCTGATTCTTTGAGCCTTTGCCTTTTTTTTTTCCATTCTTTCTCTAGTCTCCCCTCCATCTTTTTCTCGTTTTCATACTCAGATACAGCTTGAACACTAAAATAAACCAAAAAACTGCAGATGCTGGAGATCTGAAACAAACAAACAAACAAAAGTTTCTAGAGAAACTCAGCAGGTCTGACCATATCTTTTGGAGAGAGAAACGGAAGTCTGAAGAAGGGTCACTGGACTCCATGTTAACTCTATTTTTATCTCTCCACTGATGCTGCCAGACCAGCTGAGTTTCTGTTTGTTTGTTAAATTGAAGCTGGGCTGTGTTGCTTAGACTCAATTAGACCGACTTCTAATGGTCCTAATTTGCCTTTCTTTTAAGGGATCAGAAGCAAGCTGCTGGGAGCCAGTGTTTGGCCAGTAAAACGGTGCTCAGCACCTGGAAGGAGGCAATGCCTGGGGATGATGAAGTGGGATCTGAGCAGCGTGCAGCAAACGCTCAACAGGAAAGCTCCGAACCCGTGAGCGAGGAGATGCTTCGCAATGCCTACCATCTCTCCCGGCTCCGGAGTTCCTCTGTGGAAATACGGGAGAAAGGATCGGAACGACTGAAGGAGGAGCTGGCAAAGGCACAGAGGGTAAGAGTGCAGATTGCTGTGTGTGACTTTAAAAGCAGAACTACAAAGCTTTTGAGGTTTTGGATTAAATGATTCATGTATTTTGTTTGTGAATGATGGTCACTTGAGAGATACAGCACAGTAAATAGAAAGAAACAGAATTAATGGAGTCTGGAGTTTAATGTCTGCACGAGTTATTGACTATGATGAAGGAAATGTTATCCTGGGCATAAAATGTGTATAGCTGAATATGGTGGCAAAATCTTGTACTTTACATCATCTTTACCACAGCTCCAAAAGTTAGAACTGACCATCGGATTTGAGAGTCGCATAATTATTACCGTTACAATAAGCAATTGTTCTCCAATAAGGAGCTAATCAATGATTTTAAAAAAAGTAAAAAGAAAATCAATTTTGCTGTTTTTTAGACTTAATAACGTCAAGAGAAAACAGAGGGTTTTATAATGGCTTCCCATGCAGTAGGAATCATCCTTTAATTGAGCTGGTTAAATGATTATTTCTGGGGTTTCCACTTTGAGATGTGAAAATCCAATTGAAATGCACCTCTACCTTGACAGCTGAACAATATAGAATTTGTTGGACTGTGTAGCCTCCTGGCCTACATTGCATCAAATCACTTAATATAAACTTTTGAAACAGGTGTTGCTCCTATAGAATGGCATTGTCTTCATTGTTCCTCTTTTTGGTCACCTTTTTTGAACACATTTCACCTTTTAGCAGTCTTCAACTGTTAACTATTATGGGCTACACCTCAATCCTGTCATATGTCCATTCTTAGCCCATGTCTGATGTTCATGTGCACAAGCACTGATCATTAAATGTATCTGGACAGTGATTTGGAGCATGACATGGGTGATTTTTGAATAGAAATAATGTGGGTTACAGGGTAAGGGTGTAAGAATAACGCTAACTATCAAGAATATAAGAACATGAGCAAGCCATTCCCATTCCACTGCTCAATGAGATCAGGGCTGAGCTGTGAGCTAACTCCATATGTCTGCCTTTGGCCTGTATCCCTTAAGACCTTAACTTAACAAAAAATTTTCTGTTTTAGATTTAAAGTGGACTTTTTTTGTATTTATTCACGGGATGAGGGCATCCTGGCTAGGCCAGCGTTTTTTGCCCCATCCCTATTTGCCCAGAGGGCAGTTATGAGTCGACCACATTGCTGTGGGTCTAGAGTTACATGTAGGCCAGACTAGGTAAGAATGGCAGTTTCCTTCCCTAAAGGACACTAGTGAACCAGATGGGTTTTTCCAACAATCAGGAACTGATCTCGCATCAACTGCCATTTGTGGAATTGAGTTCTAAACCTCAACCACTCTTTGTGTAGTAGTGCTTCCTAAGATCTCTCCTAAATGGTCTGGCCCTAAATTCTCAGACTAATCCCACTTGTACTAAAGTCTCCAGCTGTTGAAATAGTTGATCTTTATCTACATGTCCTTTCCTCTTGGTGTGTTGGAGATTTTGATCAGATCACCCCTTAACCTTCTAAATTCTAGAGAAAACAGGCCATAATTTGTGTAATCTGTCCTAATTTAATCCTTGAAGTCCATATATCATTCTTGTATGGTGACGTTAGGTGACAAAAGGAGCAGCGTTTCGAAAGCTTGTGATCTCAAATAAACCTGTTGGACTATAACTTGGTGTTGTGTGATTTCTGACTTTGTCCACCCCAGTCCAACACCGGCACCTCCACATCATGGACCAATATGTTCTTTTTAAGGTATGGTGCCCAGATCTGCTCACAGTGTTCATGATGCTCATCGGGAGAGTCAGTACAGGTGAGATGGGCATATTGGCCTTCTACACCAGGATAGTTCTGTGATGAGCTAAGGCCAGTGTTGTAGAGAATGACTTGGCGAATTAACTTCCATCCTGGGTGTGTTAAGTGGAAGTATCACAGAACTAATTTGAGCTTGGAGCCATTCTTGGTTCTATACAGTACTGGACACTACATTTACTGTCCTAAGCCTTTGGTGTGACTAGGACATGTCTTTTTTCCCTGTTTTAGGAGCTGAAGCTCAAGGATGAAGAATGTGAGAAACTATCTAAAGTGCGGGAGCAATTGGAGCAGGAACTGGAGGAGCTGACAGCCAGTCTGTTTGAGGTATCGCCAACTCTAGCCTTTGCCAGTCAGGAGAATGGCACCTGTGCAATAAACTTTTCCCCCCAGTCAGATGGGTTTGCGTCATAAAGAAAACTATAGCTTTTAAAGAAAAAAAAAACCCTGTAAACTGATGAAATGAGCATGTAAGGACCAAAAACGCATTGGAGTTAATTCCTGTAATCCTTAATTTCTGTTGGCCTCCCTGGCTCCACCATAATTTTCAATATTAAAAATTTCTTACCCTCCACTCAGCTACTCGGAAGATTAGAAGAATCCGATTTGGCCTGTATGTTTTGAGTGGACCCAGACAAAGGAGCTGTGTCCTTTGACCTAGTCTCTGATTTCTGGTGCCTGATGCAAATACATTCTTGAGCTGCTGTTCTTTGACCTGTTACCTGACCCACTGTCTCTCTGCTTGTGGTCAGTAATTGTTACTGTTTTCTTACGAACAGGAAGCACATAAGATGGTGCGGGAAGCAAACACTAAACAGGCCACAGCTGAGAAGCAACTCAAAGAAGCCCAAGGGAAGGTAGGTAACGTTTCCCCCTGGTGTGGTCAGACATGTGTCCTACAAGCTGTGTGATGTTTTGTAGGGTGATTCATAACATTAAAGCTTCAAGCTGTAGCAACATTTACTTTTTCAGGAGGAGTTGACCCTAGAAGTTGATTAGATATTGACCAAACGTCATTGTGTAGTCACCTCTGAGTGGTCCAGGTGATTAAAGGACCAGAGGTAGGCCACCAGGAACTGAAATGAGGAGAAATTTCTTCACCTAGAGAGTGGTGATGCTGTGGAATTCTCTTCCACAGAAAGTAGTTGATACCAAAACATTGAATGTTTTTAAGGAGTTTGATTCCTTTAGCTCTAAAGTACATCTAAGGGTATGGAGAGAAAGCAGGAATGTGGTACTGAGTTAGATGATCAACCATGATCATATTGAAAGGTGGAGCAGGCTCAAAGAGCCAAAAGGCCTACTCCTCCTATTTCCTATGTTGCTGTTTGTTAAAGGTACAAATAAGGTTTTGGGGTTAGGCCCGATTTATATTTAAGGGGTCCCAGGATTCTTTATAGCATTTTCTGGATCTCAAAGACTTAGAATGTTTTTTGTAGTAAAATTGAAACCTGTGGGTTTAAAAGGACAGCGGCTGCATGGATGTGAAATTACCTAAGAGACAGAGAACTGCCACGCATAGTTGTTTTTCAGATTAGAGAAAGTGTATGCGCAGTGGTAGACCTTAGAAGTTACAGTTGGGTCCACTGCTGTTTTTGATATATATTAATGACCTGGATTTGGGAATGTGTGACATAATTTTAAAGATTGCAAACGTCATGAAACTTAGAAATAGAGCAGGTGGTGAGGGGACAGTAACAGACTACAGGAGGAGATAAACAAACTTGTGAAATAAACAAGGTGCAGGGCTGGATGAACACAGCAGGCCAAGCAGCATCATAGGAGCAGAGAGGCTGACGTTTCGGGCCTAGACCCTTCTTCAGAAG